TAGGACTTGCTGGTCAGACACATTTGAGGAATGATTTTGAAAATGACTATACGATTGCTCAAAACAGTCCCATCAAGGCAAGGAATCCAGCTCTGTGAGCTCACAGAAGACCAGAAGATTTGCTTGGAACAATAGAACATCAACAGGAACGATGTTTGCACTTAGAAGTTTTAAGGATGAGCATGTGGTTTGGCTCTTTTCTTTCTGCAGATGACAACAAAGTCCCAGCTGAAGGGAGCTAGCTCAGCTAAGGCACTACATAAAGACAATGGGGGGCACAGTCACCTTAACCCGTGACTTGTGCCCTAAGCCAGAGAAAGGGGGATGGGGACTCACAAGGAGGGTACAGATTTCAGGCCTCTGCTTTCAGACAGACTGGGGGACTAAAGAGGACTCCGTGGTTTTTAGCCAAACTCCTGGCAGGTGCCTGCTTCCGTACCAGTTAATAAGCCAAACCTGAGTTGGTAACTGTCACACTAGCAAATTAGAAAAATCCCAAATCCACGGACTTAGAAGTGCAGAAAAGAATCTGTGTTTAAAAACAATGGATTCAGGCAATAGGAGATGGCATTTGTTTCTTAAGGAATCCAGATGTGCACTGAGGCCCTATGTGATTAAAACCGGTCTTCTTCTGCCACCAAGTGTCAACAAACACTTCTAACCCTGCAGGTTTTTCAGTTTAAATCACAGAACAGGAGATCATACTATGAGAAAAAATAGTCTAACAGGATTCATTATGAAAAGCATGGAGGTATGCAAGCTACAGACCATGCATGTCAAACAACAGTGGGGAAAGCATGAACATCTTGCATTTACTATTTCACAGACAGCAATTTACTCAGATTTTTATCAGGCCATATTTGATTTTTTTTTTAAAATTACATAGCTCATTTTAATATTGTCAATCTACTCAGTACAATATCAAGAAACTAAGACTATGCAAAACTCACTTGTACACTTGTTAGCAAAGTCTGTAATTTCCAAGAAAAGCCTTCAGCTTCCCAGAGCTGTCCTTCGCCTCAGTCAGCTCTGTTGGTGCAGGGGGATCTCCACACTAGGAGATTCAAGGAAGAGTTTCTGTGTTTTCAAACTTCCAAACCTAACACACAGAACTTCCAGCTACCCACCGGGTTTTGTCCACTTTTAGTATGTGATGTCCTTCCAGCAGACAGGACCCCAGTGCCTTAGGCACTTCTACACGCCACGGTGACCACCACTGAGAATTCTTACCATAGCTCTTGAGGAGCACTGCTGGAGGATTGCTGGAGCACTCATGACCAGCACCAGGCTCTGCCCATGATGTTAATGAGATATTTATCTTCCCAAGCAAATTATTTCAGCTCCAACTTTGAATTTCTCTTTCGGCTTAGCACAGACAATGGCTTTTCAGGTCACTAAAAGATGATGATGACTGGATGAAAGAAGGAAGAACTAACCTCAATGACTGTGTCTCCTCTAGTTAGCAGTAGGTGGACTGTCTATCTCTCTGCAGTCTTAGAAGTTTGCCTCTGCTGATCTACAGCTCTTCTCTGCCTAGCACACCACTTTAAAAAACAAACAAACAAACAAACAATAACCATCCGTCCCAACAATAGCACCACCAGTATCTTGGGAGTGCTTCAATATCACACCTAAAATTATTCCCAGATGTCCTTCTAGCATGTCAAGCCAAAATATAAAAACCAGGGGCTGGTGAGAAGGCTCAAGGCCACTTGCTGCCAAGCCTGATGACCTGAGTTTGACACCTGGAACCCATGTGGATGAAGGGACTCCTGTAAGTTGTCCTCCGACCTCCATATGTGTGTGCACCGTGACATTTGTGTACTTACATGTATACATACACATAAATGAATAATAAAAAGAACTTTAGATAACGCCTTATGAGGTTTCTTCTAGACACTGAATGAGCACCCTCTAAGGTGCTTCAGGCCTCTCAAGTCAGTCCTGACTTGCCATGGCTATCTGCCATGCTCATCACCACCTCTTACTAAACACAGCCCTCCAAGGCCATTTTTTTGTTGGAACCCAGAAAAAAACCTAAGCAGTCCAGTAAGATCCTTGATATGTCAAGGAGAGTTCGCTGCATCCTAGGCATACTAAGGCCAGCTTTGTTCACAAGTACATCAGAAAAGTCACTGACTAAAAGAGCACCAGAAGCTCGCTCTCCACCGAGTGTTGTGTAAAGCAACCACCCAAACTATATGACAGATCTCTGACTCCCGCACATGTTCAAAATCTCATTTACTTTTTATACTGTTACAAAGTCATTATAGTTATATATCTTAGCATATGCTCCAATCATTGATACATTTTACCATAGCTGACTTAAACATTCCTCTATGGAACACATTATTTCTTTCCTTCCTTTTTTTTATTTTTTTATTTTTTGAGACAGGAACCTTTCTATAGTATTGCTAATGTTTCTATAAGCATCTTCATGCACAAAGAACTTCCTTTTCAAGATTATTTTAAGATTACTGTAGGAGTATTCCTATTTTAAGATCATTTACATCAGCAACAAAGGCCTCTTGGTTAAGGAATACACATTTATATTTTTTGATTTCTGGATGTCACTTCAGGTGTATGAGTGTTTTGTCTGCATGTATATATGTGTACCATGTGTGTGCCTGGTGTCCATGGGGCTCAGAAGAGGACATCAGGTCCCCTGGGATTGGAGTTACAGGTGGGTGTGAGCCGCCATGTGTCCTAGGATCTAAAGCAGAGTCCCCAGCAAGAGTAATAAATGCTCTCACTGCTGAACTATCTCCCCAGTCTCAAGAAAAAAACTTTGGAAAATGTTTTTCAGTGCTGACTACATTGTTGACAACTTAAAGGGCTATTCCAACTCTACATGTCACTACTAAAAATCTTTCCTGTCCTTACACCAAGAATTGATCTAACAAATGTTGCTCTCAAATACTGTGATTGGCAGGAGAGACTGACTCCATTGTTCTAAAAGGCTGTGCTACCCTGCCCCACCCAGGATGGGAATGATCCCTTTGCCAGTGTACACACACTGTATACAGGGCCCTCCTGTTAGCAACTCAGTAACCATCTCAGTATCAGACCATCTGTCATGGCATCACAGTGCTCATATTTAAGTAATTCTTCCTTTTACATAATAATGGTTCCAAAGTGCATAGTAATGATGCTGAAATTTGCTATGCCAAAGATAAGCCACAGTACACTTATCATTTCTTTAAGTGGGTGAACACACATATGGGAAAAACAACATAGTGATTAGTATTATCTGTGACTTCAGGCATTTACTGGAGGCCTTGCTATAGCTCCTCCATGGAGAAGAGAGAAACTACTATAATTTATCTACAATCGATACAGAATGCAATTTGATTTCAAGTCTATACACCATTAGAGCAGGAACTTTCCATTTTGATTAAGCAGCCAGTCCCTGGCATGCAATGGATACTGCATGAATACTTACAGATTCGTTATGATTTGTTAACAGATATTCCTCAAATAGAGAAGTGAATTTGAGTGAACTGAAGTTGACCAGTGGGAGAGAACAGGAGACCGAAAATAAGACAGGTTCTTAGACTCAGAGAGGGGGCTCTGAAACTAAAGGATGTGACCTCCCTGAAGGCACCTTCTGAGTCCTGCATCCCTTTACTCTAGGGAGAGGAAGTCAGTTCTGTGCAACCAAATGCCAAGAAACCATGTAAGAACAGTCTGGAAGGTTGGAATGGAGCTGCTGCAGCATTTAAGCACTTATGGTAAAAGTCACTGGGTGCTCCATTGTAGGTTAATAGTATAAAGACAAAGCAGCATTCTGAAATGGGGGAATTACCTTCACCACTGATTTGTCACTCTGGAACTAAGTGGGAGACCACTTGGAAGAAGGCAATCCATTGGAAGCAGAACAAGACAGACAATGAGTGAGCAAAGAAGAAAACAGTCAGTCTACAAGCTCTGCGGGTTGTTGCTCAAGGCTTCAAAAACTATCACTTACAAAAATCATTTTACCCAACATATTTTGTAACCAGGCCTTATGTAGATACGGGCGAATTTTTTTTAGCATAGCTATCAAAAATATACAAGATATCTTTTTGAGGACATCTTTAACAGCAGGTTGTAGAACGCTCGTAAGCACAGGATGGATCGGCCAAACCCATGTTTTAAAGAACAAAAAGGACTCTGAGAACAGAGCATGCTAAACCTGGGGGCAGAGTTATACTTGCTAATAAACATGACCCTCATTTACATAGCCACAAAAGAGCCCTAACAGGAGCTGAGGGAATGAGGAGCAGGGCATGGACACTGATCTGCATGTTATCTCAGATATTCTGGTATAACAGAGGCCAGCAGGTGACTTAATTTACATAAGGAACCCCTGGCTGAAATGGAAAATCAAAGCAAGGAGAGTGCCGTGCGTGCGTGTGTAAAAGACACTTGTCTTTGCTTGTCACTGTTGCCCAACCTTAAGAAGTACTCACATGTGGGGTCGGGTTGGGGGAATCCCATGGGTACTTTAGCATCTAGTCCATGGTACCCTCGTTCCACACCTCCTGAGTGGAGGCTATTGTTGGAATCCCTGAAAGACCTACAAAAACTAGAGCTCCAAAGTATCCCTCAACCTGGGCTGGAACAGTGAACTGCAATGAACAGCAAGTGAATAGAGACTAGCATGGGAAGCCCCAAGAGCTGAAGGAAACTGAAGCCCTAAGCAAGAAAGCAGCACAACTGAACTCTGGCGCCATCTAGAGGCTCCTCCTGGGAGGAATCGCAAAAGAAGCAGCAGCGAGCGGTCAGGGGTGTCAGTGTGCACCCCACAGCCTTGCAGCAAATCAGGAGGGTCTGTAACAGCCTCCTAGGAACACTGAGATCTTCAGCACTCCTGAATTATAACTGAATTGACCTGAAGTCCCAGGAACAAGGAGGTTAGGGTGCCAAAAAATACAAAATGTCACACTTGGAAACATACTAAAGCCTTGGGTGCCCTGGGGTGGGGTGGGGGGAGCCCAAATATAGATACGAGCACTCACCTTCTTCCTGAGCATTGGTGCTTTTGACAGTTTCATAAAGGTCAAGTGAGGCTTAAAGAGTCTGTTTTCTCCTGCCAGGATGCCTTTTTCTTGAAATGTTCTTTTTGCAGTCTCTGAAGAAAGTAACACAAAATGAGACATATAGTTACCTTTAGTTATTGAAGGGCTGATTCAAGAGATGGCTATTGTTATATAAAGGCAATCATATTATGGTATCCAGGTTTGTGTTTCTATGGGTTCTGCGTGTATATGTCTACATGTGCATGTGTTTCTCATGCTTTGCTTTTTTATTTCACTTTTGTTTGTTTTATTCTGACTTGTTTGTTTCCTAAAGAGGGAGACAGAAAGAAGCCATGGAGTTGGAAGGGTCCAGAAGTCGGGAGGATCTGGGAGTAGATGGAGGAGGAAAAGCCCTGATCAGAATATACTGCATGGAAAAAAATATTATTAATTAAAAAATAACATGAAAAGATGGCTACTTGGTATTTCTTAGAGACAGAAAAAAATACAAAGAGAGTGAAAACATGACAGTTAAGCATGTTTTCCGGGATGACACTGACTCTCCTGGCCATCTCAGTGATTTCCTAGGGTCTAGGAGAGGACTGGCTGGTCTGCTGCCACCTTTCATATCTAACACTTCTGAGCAAGATGAAGCAAAGAACCTTCTCTAACAAGATAAGAAAGGGGTCTTGGTCCAGCGGGTAAAATGACTTGTTCTGCAAGCATGAAGACCCGAGTTTAGTTCCCTATCACCCACATCATAAGCTGGGCTTGGATGCACATGCCTGGAATATACACCCCCACCTCACCCCTGCATTGTAAGTGAGACACATGTTTCCTGAGAACTTGCCAGCCAGCTATTCTAGCTGAAATAAGCAAACTTCAGTAAGAGACCCTGGCATAAGACAATAAAATGGAGAACAGCAGAGAAAGACTCAAGTCATCCTGCTCTGGTCTCACCTGTGTGTGGACACATACTCATGTGCAGGCAGACACACACACACACACACACACACACACACACAAATCCATTATAAAATAAGGAACAAACATTGTGGGCTAAGTCTTTTGATTGCCCCAGTTTAAAACCTTGGGTATACGGGAGAAGCCCAGATGGAGCCCAGCAACTCTCCAAGGTAAACAAAAAGAACAAGAAGAGAGCAAGACAGCTAGAACTCAGAGAAGAGCACTTAGGCAAGAGACCCACATTAAGACCAAACTCTAGGCATCTGCAAAACGTTCCCCAGAATACCCGGTCTAGCGTTGATGGTGTATTTGTACAAGGAAAATGCCTGGGGCTGGGAAGCATGCATTCCTGAGCACTGGAGGTAGCGGCATCAATGTTTACAAGAGTCAGAAACGCTTCCTCTTCTGTTAGTCAGACAGGCTACTCCCAAGGAAGGGTTTATAAGACATGAAGGTATAGAGAGGACTGAGAGCGGGTAAGCAAGATGGTAAAGGAATGTGTGTGTCTTGAAAACAGAAGAGGAACTGTCAGGAGACAAGAACCACCAAACGAGGGGGATGAGGAGGGCAGAGGTCGTGTTGGTACCACAATGATCTGTCCAGTGGCTATGAAGACATGAACTACACAGCATCCTGAACTAGCAACTCCACTTTAAGAATACAAAGGTAAAAAAGAAAATATTGGTACATAAAATTCTACATAGAAAATACTGAAAAAGTATCCTGAATGAGCACAGACTGGGTATTGCAATCTCCACCAATAAAGGTATGGTTGATAAATTACCATACAGCCATACTGGAAAGACAAGGCTAACAAAAAGAATGAATTAGAACTGACCTCTTGGCAGTTGAACACTGCTGTCACATGCCACAGGCCAGAACATGCAAACAGGGAGCTGGAATCCCTTGCCCTATAGGTGAAAAACTCATACTCTTGAAGAACTGTTAATAAACACCTTTTCAGTTATCTTTATCCAAAAATGGCTTGAGGAAGGGTTGACACACACAATTAAGTAAACCCAAAGGATAAAGTTGAACCCCAAAAAGCAGTGCAGGGGAGATGGTTCAGGTTAAGAGCACTTGCTGCTCAAGCATAAAGACCCAAATTCACACACCCAACACCCACAGAAGTCCAACATGTTGGTGTATGCTGAGACACATTCTGATCATGTTATGTGGACTTGGAACATGTATAAAGATGCTTGTACTAGTCATTGACATCGCTTGGCTTTTTCTCTATCATCTACAGTGATAAAGGGTACATGACACAACAATAAAAGGCTGGGAAATCAGTGCCATTAGCTAAGAGCAGAGACTGCAACTCTGGCTGACTAAGCAGGGAAGAAGTTCACAGAGGAGCTCTGGAGCGGTCAGGAAGTATAGAAGGCTACGAAGTCAAGAAGATGCTTCAAGGTCTATGAAACCCAAGACAGCAAACATCTCTTCTGACCACGGGGTGCCCCAGATGGCCCACTGACGCCAGAGTGCATCTAATAAGACATTCAATTTAGAAGAATCCATACAAAGAGCAGTCAAAGCAGAAAGTCCAGAATCTAGCAACAGTAGGTCAGGAAGCAATCCAAATATGTTCACAACAATTACTGTCCTCTACTGTAATTCCACTGGTCCTTTCTATATTGATACCTTCTTGGGTGTTAGAAGCCTAATCAGCTGAAATATTCGGCTGAATGACAGAAAAGTTATTTTCTTAAGTCAAAACAACTCAAACAGTGGCAAAGTCCTATGGCTTAAGCATACCAGGGTTGGTTAATGTATTCAACTCCTAAAGTTTGACCCATGGGATTAGGGCACCAATTAAAGATAGGAATGCCAGTCCTTAAATCATAAACAATTATCACTTACAGAAGAATTACCACACAGGGAACAGATCCAGCAGAAAGATGTGAACACGCAAAGCCACTTGCTGATTTTACTTACTGAGCACATACCCCAGGCACACAGGCACAGTATCTCCAGAGGGCAAGTGCCCAGTACACAGGACTCGTGGTACAGTGAACTACCAGGAACTGCAGTAGACAGAAAGGACTCTAGCTTAGCAGAATCCACACAGGCACAGGAAGCATATGCTCGGAGCCACTCTTTGCTCTCGGCATTAGATTTCCACATACTACCTTATTTGATATAGCAATCAAGTGAATCTAAAGAAACAGTTTTAAATTTCCTGGTTTAGTTACATGTGATTTTGACTTAACTTCTCTTATAACTAGCTCTCTAGGCCTGAAATCTTTTATGATATTTATTCACAATACTCTTAAATATTTGTCTCAGAGCACATTTAATTTTCGTGTTTTCTCTCTACAGTACATTGTCTAGGTGCATAGAAACAGGGGAAAAGGGATGTCTTCTTTTTGAAGAGTATTGATTTTGTTTCTAATAACAGCATAATCTATTGCTTAGCCTAAGTATTGGCTAGTGATTATACATACATCACCTTTGAGACAAAAGTTTCTACTAATGTGAAAATTACGTGTCATCTTTCATCTGTATTAACTTTTATTCTGAAGGGAAGCTCATGAATAATTAAAGAGGCTGTCAATTCTTCTGAAGTAACAGAAATTCCTTCAAGCACTAAACTGAAAATCATACAACAAATACAACAGGCATCCTTCACAAGTCAACTCTGTATGCTTCCTAAGTAATAAAATTTATCTCAGAGGTAAAGGCTAAAAGAGTTTCCTGAAGAAGAATTCATGTGGAATTTGTTTAGGGGCGGGAAGATGTCTCCGTGGACCTGAAGGCATATGCAACAAGTCTGACTACTGGAGTTGAGTTCAAGCCCTGGGACCCACATTGTGGAAGGTGACAGCAGAATCCTGCAGGTTGTCCACTGCACGCGAGCGCACGCGCACACGCACACATACACACACACACACACACACACACACACACGCAATCAGATGTTTAAATGCATTTTTAAAATATCGGATGCCCTTGCTGATGATCATAAACAATTTAATGTTTGATGAACCTAACAAGACAGCATCCTCTCTTTTCTTTCAGATTTTTACCTATTTATCTTTACATGGATTTTATTCAAATGAATTCTTTAAAAATGTGGCAGCAATAAATTCACACTTAAAAATAAAGAAGTCACTAAACATAATTTCAGGGTAAACTATTAATCTGATTTTAACAGAATCCTATGTTTTGAATTACATAGCCCATTTTACAAATCATTTATTTTTCCCTTTCTTTTCTTTTGCCATTTCCTAAGGCTGTGACAACACTTTAGGAATTAGGGTCTCTGACGGAAATACCATGCTAAGAATGAAAGTAGCCCACCCCAGTAGCCCAGCATCAGGAAAATGACTCCTCTCCTGGGGTGGAGCGGGGAAGCATATCTTCCCATAGTTCCCTGACTGGCACACTAACACATGGCACGCACTTCCCGGCTTTTCCTTCACCTTTTCTATGCTTCATAGCACTTCTGTGAAAAGGCAGATCAGTTAGATAAAGAATTTTTCTTGTGGCAATATACTGTTTATGATCTAATAAAGCTAGCCTCAGCCACAGAAGCTGAGCATGCATCTTTAATCCCAGGACTTGGGAGACAGAGGCAGGTGGATCTCTGTGAGTTCAAGGCCTCCATGGGCTACATGAGAGTGAATCAGTCTAAAAGAGAAACAGAGCTCAGGCCTTTAATCCCAGCACTTGAGAGGTATATAAGGAGCTCAGTGCAGCCTCAGGAGCAGTCTGAGATTAGCGCAGTCTTGAGATGCAATCTGAGGTTCGGTGAATCTCCCCTGAGTATGAGCATTGTTAGAGATGAGAGCTCTCTGGTGGCTGCCAGCTTTGCTTCTCTGATCTTCAGCTTGAAACCCAATATCTGTTCTGGGTTCATATTATTCATGTTACATTTTCTCTCGACAGTTTTGTGCAAAATTATAAATATATTCATTTTATACACATACATTTAAGTATGTGCATATGTGTGTAGGTATGCATACAGGTGTGTATACATATGCAGACATATATACATAGTGTCTCTTCCTCTTAATATAAGCCTGTTTGGGAGCTCAGAGCCAAATTTTACAGTCAAGGGTCTATTTTTTTTTAAAGCCACAACAAAGTACATAAGGCATTATCTGATGGTGTTTCCCAGCTAGAGAACAACTATTTCAGAGGA